GGGCCGTTTTGGGTAAGCAGAACTGTGCCAGAGCATGTGAGAGAATGTCAGAGCTGTCATCAAATTCTCTGTGTTTCCCCGCAGCACCCGGCTACAGCTCAGCTTTGCCAGTCCCGGCCATGGATTCTGCTGCGCATCAGCAACCTGAGACCCAGGTGATGCTGCAGCAGGATTGTCTCTGGCAGAAGCTTGGCTTGCTGGAGGTCCGGTCTTGGAAGGCGGAGGTGCCGCCTCTGGCGTTGCAACAGCGCTGGCTCTTTGAAGAGACCTATGCCGCTGGTCTGATAGCATGAGTCCTCAGCCCCAACCCGAGCCTAAAACATCCCAGGACCATCCAAGACCCTAGCATGCCCTAGCCATCCCCAGCCATGTCTAGCCATCCTGAACCCAGGCATCCTTCTTTTGAGTGGCGTGCGAGAAGGAGGACTTCCAGGTCTCGACCTACAGCCAGGGCAACGCCCAGGAGCTCCAGGCCGTGTACCGAGCAGCAGCGGACGCCGATATGCTCGCGCACCGCGCAGCGATCTGCGAGGACTATCGGGCACACCCCAAGTATGAGGCGGGGCGCTGACTAGGGATGGGATGGGGCATGGGGCCGAGGACGCTAGGGATATTTGTGGGGCTTAGCACCTGGTCCCCAGGTTCGAACTCGCATCGGAGGGAGCGTGCTGCATCCGAAGACGCTGCTGGCAAGGATTCTGCTTGGGGAGACACTGCCGGAAAGCCTGAGGTGGGGAAAGGTTCGGGTAAGCCGGTCTAGAAGAGCTGAAGAACCCGCTGCCCACCCCTGCAAGGTGCCGAGCAGCAGCAGGGCCAAGAAGCGGGATATGAACGTGCTCATGGCACGGCTAAGTGCCGCGGAGCGAGCTGTGAAGGCCACGCGGTTAGGGTTTAGAATTTAGGGTTTAGGGTTTTGGGTTCAGGGTGTAGGGGTTTTCTCAGTAGGATCACAACATGGCTGTCACATGTAAGGACATGTTACGAGCAAATGTCAGGAGACCCGACGGGAGATGGAGCAGATGATCCGAGATGAGGACCGAAGGGTTCGCCCGCGCCGGGTTTAGTGCGGCGGCTGATGGGATGCGTGAGAAGATGCTAGAAGCATCTGGAAGCCGGATGGATGGATGTGGGTGGTTTTCGAAATGATGGGTTCCCTTTAGATATGGATTATATTACGGCACTCTGAAGGGATTCCTCTTGGATCTGGATTATATTCCGGCACTTTATATTTGGGGGATAGCAACGTGGGACCCGAATTTCGGAAACTACCCAGATATGCCCAGATGAATCTAGCCCGAATAATCCTGAACACCTGAAATATCCTGACATATCCTGACATCCTGCGAGAGCATCTGACACTTGCCGGCACGTGGTTTTAGCATGTTGGCTACGACCCTCCAGCTGCCCAAAATGGTGGCTAGCTCAGAGCAATGGCTTGAGGTTTTCTCGGTGTTGGTGCTATAATGTGCCAGAGGACCTAGATGAAGCTAGTCCAGGCAATCCCATACACCTGACGTATCCTCACATGCTCCTATGGCATCTGGCACCGCCTCAGCTGTTCCTTTTAAGAAAAAAATCGGCTGCGACCAGCAGCCCAGAATGGGGGCCACTAGAATCGGCTAAAGACTGCCGAGCACGTAGAGCTCCGTGCGTCACTGCAGGCATCCATGCGCTAGCGCAGAGACAAACCCCGGCGTTGCTTCAGTTGTCTTGCAGCGTGTTGTGAATGAAGGGTTCCTCTCATTTCCTCGCTTTCTTGCTGGTGCAGGCTGGTGCGTTGGGGGACATGCCGCATCGCAGCTTGCAAGCGGAGGAGGCCTTCTTGGGGAAAGGCGGAAGAAAGTCTTGCCATAAGCTTTGGCTGCGCAGGACCGGCAAATGGTTGCCTCGAATCCGGACGACGGGTTAAGGAAGAGATCGTGTGGCCCTCCGCCAAGTCCTCAGTGGTAGCTCATGTAGAGTCCGCTGAAGCAAGCTGGGACGTACCTTTAACCCGTGCAGCTACTGATGTGAAAATGCACATTTTGGGGGCTAGGGTGTAAGGAAGGCTGGTTTGAGGGCACCCTAGCCCCCAAAACATGCAATTTCTGACCCTCCCACGAACTTGGTAAGTGAAATTCAGCAAAGCTCCCAGGATTGCTAGGAGAGCCTGTGTGAATATTGAAAACACACCTCGGCAGAAAAATGCACATTTCGGGGGCTAGGGTGTAAGGAAGGCTGCGCTGGCACAAGGTTTCAGGGCCAAAACATGCAATTTCCGGGCTTCCTGCAGGGATGCTCAGCAATGGTTCTAGGATTCCGAGGATTCCTACAAAAGCCTGTGTGAGTACCGAAGACATAGAGACGAGACGGGACATGTCGGAGCCTCCGAAAATGCACATTTCAGGGGCTAGGGTGTGGGGAAGGCTGCACTGGCACAAGCTTTCAGGGCACCCTACCCCCCAAAACATGC